AAAACCCCTTGGGTTCGGAGTTTGAACCGCAAAGAACCATAGAGAATTCTATCGCTAATCAAATGAACAAACTTTAAAAGAGTGAACCCCACACCGGAAGCCATGAATCGAATTATTGAGTCTGTACAATGCTAACAGGAGAATCCAAAAGACCCAATTCTAAATGATCCCGATCAATAACTTGAATCCTTTTTAACGATATCTGCTGGTGAACCTGATCAGGAAAAAAAGAAAAATTGTACTACTACTACTACTACCAGGACTGTCACTTCTGTCACTACTGTTATACTCCTATCGATTCCTTACCACACTTATATGAACAATTAAGAAAGAGATTATTTTATCGAAATCTACAATTTTAATATTAACTCATGCATAACATAACATTACCGAAAACCAGACGATGGGTGGGGCAAATTTACGGACATGTGACCTGGGGAGCTGAATGATGTGCTCACCAAAATCCAAAAATTAAGCACTAACTACTTAGTAGATGAAAAATGCTCATTGCCACATTGAAAACAAAATCCGGTAGGAGAAACAAGCTGTCTGTTGCTGTTTTCGGTGTATTAATCAGCTGATTTGGGGGTTATTAGGGTTGATCGATTTGGTTTTGATTGAATCAAATTACATGTGCAGAAAATATGCTAAGTTTGTTTACCAAATCCTAATCTCGGCTAAGACAATGGTGCTTTCCTGGTGTGAGTGGGATGAATTTTTGGGTTTCTATAGTTATTGTAGTAGTAGTAGTAGTAGTAGTAGTAGTAGTAGTAGTAGTAGTAGTAGTAGTAGTAGTAGTAGTAGTAGTAGTAGTAGTAGTAGTAGTAGTAGTAGTAGTAGTAGTAGTAGTAGTAGTGGCAGGCAATGAACACGAAACACAAATCGCGGAATACGAATCAAAGATCAGCAGTCACGGACGTCGCGAACGCACAGGACCACACTGGCACTTGCACTCAATGCTCCACGTGACCGAAACGCGGCCACAGGAGTAGTAGTTCGTTTATCGAAAGAGATAAAGGGAATTCAATGCGTATAAAACAAACTCATTGGTTATCCGGTCATCTGCAATCGCGTTCTATTATTTCTGCCATGGTTCTGCTTCTATCTAGGCCGCATGTGTTCTCGCTGGTAGGTACGATCGACTTGTGGCATGTTGTCCAGCGACTGTGACACTCACGCACTTTGCTGACTTCACCCCTGAGGCTTGATTGATCATCGTTGTCCTGAAACTGTAACGTATCGCTCCAGGATGTGCGTCATTTCGTAGGCTAGGATGACCACAGTTTCTTTAACTGAAGTGTAATGATTGTAGTGGTAGTAGTAGTACGCACGGAATTCCGAATACAAACCTTGCAATAGGAATCACTGGGCATGAATCAGAGATCAACTATCACGGACTGGATTACGGAAGCCCGGGATCGCAATGGCACGAGCACGCAATATCGCACGTGGACGAGACTCGAGGAAAAGACCACAGGAACAGTGGTACGCAGTTCGTTTATTGGAAGAAATGAAGGCGATTAAATAGTATGTACAAAAGAAGGTTACTGGTTATCTAGGCTTCCACCAATCGGAATACAATACTGCTTGCATAATTCTGCTTCTGTCTTCACTGTATCGGATTGGCTGGCACGATCCATCAATGACGCGTAGTCAGAAGCTATACGGATGTCATTGACGTCATCTTTCAAATTTGATTGATCGCAAGTGTCCAGAAACTGTAACGCGCTGCTCCAGGGTAGGCGTCATCACGTAGACCTGGATCACGACACGAGGCCATAGCAAAGCGAAATCCCGAAAGAGCTGCTTCTGGCTTCATAGGGGAAGGGATCTAATATTTGTACAGCTATCAGCTTGACTGTGCAGAGGGTGATAAACTAACTCCTTAAGCGTGACAAATATACATACCATACGATAAAGAGTCCCATTTAGTTGGGCCGAGGTTTTTCCGATTTCGTCACATTCTTGACCATGCTATTCACATCGCATTTAGCGTTTCCGCACCCGGTATCAAATAACTGTCAGGGAGTTGACGGTGAATCGCCAAAACCGCAAATCGAATAAAGTGTGCACAAGACTGGTGCTGCTGCTGCTGCTGCTCTACCCATAAACCGATTCCTCGGAGGAGGACTTTGTTCCATTCGGATCAACATCTCTCTGCTGAACTATATTACGCTCCGAAAAGCTTATCGGTTCACCGCTTTTGAACACTGAATCGTACAAAGTCAAGCTAAACAACCTGAACAAAAAAGATAAACAGTTGGATGGGGTAAGGTGGACAAGGTGCTACATTTGTTACTCATGCACAAAAACATAGCAAAATGAAAAACGGAGAACAAAATTTCAAATTGTACTTCGGAAGTTAACCACTCCACCGTCAGGAATGGTTTATACACAGTCCCCTAGTGAACAAGCGGGTAACTATTATACTAACACATCTAATTCGATGATATAAAGCCATTGGGCATGCTACGAAAATTCAGTTGAACAATCGACCGGCACCATTTCACATAATCTTGTATTGAAAACCAGGTACATCGTTTTCTTTCTTGAAGGTAATCCAGACCAGCATGGTACTTTATTTGACCCTCAGACGGAAGCATGTGCAATATTTTCCCGGGTACAATTTGACAGTAAAATTTTGCATCAGAATACCAGCAGTAAAAAAGGCCTATAAATGGACTGAATCAGTTATGACAGATGGTGGAGTGGATATACAATGGTTTACGTTTTCGACCAGGTATTGATGTAAAGATGGAGCAAATAAATTGAGCATGGGAATTACAGGACTATTTTAAACCATCGTTCATAAGAAATATAAAGCGATTTTTTTTTATCAAAAAATCCAAAAAGCGATGAATACTTGGTGTTGCATTTGGAGGAATGTTTGAGCAAAGCAAAAACCCTCGAGAGAAAATTGCTGGGGACCAGGTTGTCAAGAAACAATAAATTTGACTGTCCCATGTGAAGGAACGTTTTGTGAACGCAGCGTGGAGACGTAAATAGTTCTGCTTCTCCTCCTAAAGAAGATCTCGTGCTTCCACGATTGAGATCAGTCTGAACTGGGATCCACCAAATTATTTAAAATACTACTCTCAGGCGAATCCCATAATACTGAGAGTATTATCTGTTGTTTTATTGGATAGTGGATCTTCGGACAATTGCAAACAGTATTTGGACTCATTTCCTAAAATTAAACTTCAGCTTTACAGTTTCCGACGATTCGTCAACCGAGGAGACAGAGTGTTAGAGCTAGTCTTTTGTAGGAAGTGCTCTATGATATGTGACCAACGAACACGTCTTTACCATATTCGAACAACTTTGACGAATATTTGTGCAATAAGTTGCCTCATTTTCCACAGACGTAGTGTGCCTGCGTTAATCCTAGTCTACGGGATAACGCTAGCGACGCGTTACAGTTTCCGGACGACGAACCACAGACCAATCGTGCCGACCAATCGGAGTTCGTGCGGTCCAGACAGCTGATATATGACGTCAGGAATGCGGGCCATTGATGGAGACCTGTATAACCTGTATCACCCTTTTTACCTAATCTTAATGATTTTCCTCAATACATAAGTTAACCACTATTCCTCTGGTCTTTTTCCTGTTTCTCGGTGATGGAAGATTCCAGTGCTAGTACGATTCTATGCTTCAGTTGCGACCGTGATTTGTGATCCGTAATTCGATCACTACAGTGCAACCATAGATCGACCAATTTGACTTTATTGTGAGTCTTGCGTGTGCCTTGTTCGACTTTCGGTTCATGTGGATTTCTTTTCTTTACTTCGCGGATTCATTTCAAGACCACGAGCACATGGTTATCCCCACGAGAGAGTACATTAGCATTGGTCGTATCAGCGAGAGTGTATTGAATATCACAGATATTGGTCTAGAAAATCCCTCCCGTGTGTGTGTGTGTCTCGTGGCTAAAGGGTAACAAGGCGTCGTGAATCCGGACAGCCGTTACCCGTTACATATGCAAAAGATTCCTGCTCATGTTCATGTCAAATCATAGCCGAGACAAAATGAAGAGCGGTATGATGTGTGATCAACACATTCTAGGTTGAATCTTTGACTAAAATCTATCTAATTGTCCGTCTGTTTCTTCGGTTGCGCTCACATTCATTT